GTGGATGCGCACCACCATAGAAACACAGGCTGCCAGCTATGGGTGCACTGCTTAATCAGCTGGGAGACACCTGAACATCTTCCGGGAGGCCACCCAAGTGCTCAGCTTATAGGGAACGTTGGCGCTGGTCCATGGTGTGGATATATCCAAGGAGCAGTAAAGCAACTGACAACACGCATCCATCCTTAGAAGGGCATGGGCCCAGCTCTGATCTCAGTCTGATGCACTGGCCAGGTGAGCCCCGGCAGACTGCTATGCTCACAGATCTCTTCCCTCCATGCCCAACTCTGTTGGGACGGGGGGTGGGGCCTGTGGAGAAAGCGGGATCGATCCTGTTTGCAGTACCTTCAAAAAGCAGCAAGCAGGAAGCTGAGTTTCTCCTCCCTCAGGCCCATGCAAGAGTTTAATCAGTTAACCGTTAAGCTTTAACCATTAAGCTGATGCGTATCACTTCCTGTTAACAGTTAAGTGCTGCAGCGAGTGTGGGGCCAGCAGCCGGCAGCCCCATGGGGCTGGGAACCCGTGAGGCTGGCTAGCAGCCAGCAGCCCATGAGGCTGGCATGTGAGTGCCCACCTGTGAGTCCAGGGTGCCCTGTAGCACCCTTCTCTCCCTCCTCCTCCATCCCCAGGTATCACGTTTAACAGTTTTTATTGGTTACCTGGTTAGTATTTTTCACATCCCTACCCCAAAATCATGTGTACAACCCTTCCCACATCCAAACACTGGCTTTGAAATAATAACTCGATGAGGTCTGTGTTTATCTGCAGGTGTCTAAACCTTTCTGGTTCATGTTTTCACACATTTTCCCACAATCACAGGGCCTAGAAAACTTTTTTTTTTAATTTCACGCTGAGAGCCTCACCAGTTGATAGGATCCTTTGGCCCAGCAGAAAGCTACCAGGAGATTCGCTGTCCAACCGTGTAACCCTGGGCATTTTCATCTCAAGTACGGAGAGGGGAGACCTTATTTCCTTGTGCGGTAGAAATTGAAAGGGAAACTAAAAAAGACATGTCAAGAGATCGCAGGTGAAGAAAGACCTGCCTTGTCCCCAAGCCAGAGAGGTACGAATGCCATATGTCTAGGGTTGCCAGGTGTCCAGTATTGGCCCGGACAGTCTGTTATTTGTGGCCTCTGTTTGGTAAAAAAAAAACCCAGAAAATACCAAACATGTAAAATGTTCGGTACTCTCTGTTTTTCTCAAACGGAAAGCTGCTTGGGACAGTCTTCCCCTGCTGTGTCTGGCGGGAGCGGGGGGATTTAAAGGTGCAGTGACTCTTTTTTTTGTGCTCAACAACTTTGGCTCCCTGGGTTTTTTTTGCTCAACCAATTTTTTCCCCCCGCAGTGTTCGATATTTCTTGTGAAAGTATCCAGCAACCCTACATAGGTCACCAGGTGACCAGAGCGGTAAGGGACTGCAGGCAGGGAAGTGGTGTGGGAGAAAGAGCCGATGGGGAAGGGGTAGGTGTGAGGCTGAAATGCTGCTAATGCTTGTAAGGGGGCATCTGCTTGGATTGCGTTTGTTTTAAAAGAAACATTCCTGTTTGCCTTTCAGAGCCACCCCATCCAGTGCTGAAAGCAACCTGAAAAAACTGGGCGGGGCGGTTATTCTAATCGGGGAGCAGCAGCTTTGGTAAGGTCGCGCTGAAAGCGCAGCCCTCCGCCACCTGGATCAACCTGAAAACTTTCCTTTTGGCATGGTCTGCTCTGCAGGCCCTTGCGAAACCTCCCACCTCTCCAGTCTTGTCTCAGTACTGGCACTTTGAGTCTGAGACACCCTCCCCATTTCCCTCACGTCCTCCTCCAGCACATAATGAAACAACTTCACCCATGCGACCGAGGAACGAAACCGTGCAAACAAACGGAGTTCCAGGGCCCAGTGAGTTCTCTCCTATCTGTGGGGAGAAAAATAAAATGCCCTGTTTCAGAGGGGCGGCCGTGTTGGTCCGTTTCAGCAAAAACAACGGGGAGTCCAGTGGCACCTTAGTGACAAACAATTGATTTCAAATTCGTTAGCCTTTAAGATGCCACAAATTTCCCTGTGTTTTTCAGGCTTAGACTTTCTCTCGCAAACTGGTGTTGCTGCTTTTGACGTGGAGATGCAAAAGGTTCGCTTTTCAAAAACAATAGTCTTTAATCTGCACAGCTCCCTCCTGGATGGCTCCTAAATAGCTGCTAGGGTGTGTCTAGACTGCACACTTGGGCGCACAGGACTCAGGTTATGGGGCTGTTCAACTGAGATCTGTGCATTCACGTGCTGGCTGGAGCTCAACCTCTGGGACCATGTGAAAAGGAAGGATCCAAGGTCCTGTGCCCCAGACCAAATCTGAGATCAAGTCTACACTCAAGGGGAAGGTCGAATCAAGACACACAACTCCAGCTACATTGATTACTGGAGTCAACGTACCTTGATTAGAGTTTCCTTGCCGTCCCCACAGGTTTAGTTAAGGGGACACTTGACTTCCCTTACTCCTCACAGGAGCAGGAGTACTGGCCGCTGGCAGGAGCGCCCTCTGAGTTTGATTTAGCTAGTCTTGACTAGACCCGCTAAATCGAACTCTGGAAGATTGATCGCAGTAGTGTCAATCCTCCACCAAGTGAAGACATGGCCTGAATGTCTACACCACAGTTAAACAGCCCCTAGCCCAGTCAGTGGGCAGGGGCCAGCCACAGGTGTTTCTCTGCAGCATAGGCATACACCTGGACTAGAGCCTTTGCCCAGGAGACTCTGGACATGCTATGCCTCCATTTTGGCCATATCTGCCCTAGAGAAGGGTGCCAGCTGTAACCGAAGCCATTTCAGAACAAACGGCGCAGTGAGCCCCCACTAGCCGTGCGGAAGCCTCCCCCAAACCATTTGAACTGCAGTGCCCTCTGGGTGCCTATCCCACAATGCCCGCCTTGGCCCCCAGCAGTAGCGTGCGCTGGGAAATGGTGCAAGGCCAGTCAAAGGAGGACTGATTTATCTGGGGTTGGTCTTGCTTTGAGCAATGGGGTGCACTCTGATTCTTGAGAGGTCTCTTCCAACCATGCCCACCAACAGGGAGGTCGTACAAAAGGGGCAGTTGCCTGAGCGATTCAAATTACCCTTTAAATTGCCACCCGAGCACCATGCGACTCGCTCCATGTGGCTCTGAAGGCTGGAGTGGGGGGGGAGGATGCACCAGGCTCTGGATAACATGAAGGGCTGGCTATCCCGGCCCCGCTCCTTCCACTCGAGGCCCCACCCCTTCTGCCCAGGGGCTGTTGGCTTCCCTGCTTCCAACCCTAATTGTCTATGACTAGCTATACCGTTTCACATGTCAGCTTCCACACTGGGACTAAACCAGTTCAGAAGGAACTGGTGAAGCTTTACCCAGGTATTAAATCCGTCAGCAGGCTGGCTGTTCTAAGCAGCTCTTAGACCTCTTAGGGCATTTTTCTGCCTGCATACAAAGCCTGCTAGGGCTTTTGACTGTTCATTGTCCGTAGCACAGACAAGGCATTAGCTGGCTGGCAAATGCCAAGCTAGTAACGAAACAACCTTCAATGTACTCAGCCAGGGTTAAAACCGTGCCTACGTGAAAGAGCGAAAAATAGCTGTCGTTAATACAACAAACAAGGTGGTTCGGTACTACGCCACTGCCCGTGTGTGCCCATCACTGCAAAACAGTGGTCAGGCAGCTAGGCTGCAAAATTAAAGGTTCACTCACAGCCCAAGGAACCAGAGATGTATGTGGCAGGGGTGAGGAGCAATGTTCCCCCTAATCTTTTCCATCCACGTGCGGAATACATTTTATTATGTGCATCGAGACATATGTGAATGTGCCACACCAGTAGAAATAAAAAACCTGGGCGCTCTGCTAATCCGCTGAGCAGCGTTTGAATCTCTCCTGAGCGACCGCACAAGTGCCCAGCTTACAGGGAACGCTGCGGGGAGGTACCATTTTTCAGCAGCAATGGCTTGATTTTCAGAGACACGGAGCACGTACTTCCATCGCTGCAGGCCCTAAGACAGGGGTGGGCAAAGGGCCCTCTACGGGCTGGATCCGGGCCTCCAAGCCAGTGGATCCAGCCTGTAGCTGCCCTACCGTTCCCCTGCCCTCAAGCCAATCAGGACTTGGGGGTAGGGGAGCGCGTGAAGTCGCCTTGCCCGCGCAAGAGCGTGCGGCGGCTTGAGAGACACGCCGGCTGGGCGGAGGGGAAAAACGTCAAGGTGTGTTTACAAACCATGCCCATTTTCAGATCTAGACGCCTCTCTCTCCCTTGCCAGGACATTAACAACTCTGTACTGTGAAGCCAGCCTCGATTTATAATTAACTCGGCATGAGGAATTTCAAGGGCAGTTACACAGCCCCCACCTTCAGCCCTTCATCACAACACCACCAATGGAAACAGGCTCACTCTTCATTTCCCTCCGACTCCTCCCTGGAAGGGAGCGGCCTGGCTGGAGAAGAAGCCAGTTTCTACATGGCTTTAAAATCCTGCTGCCATAAATATTAGTCCTTATGGTTTGTATTAGGGGTGCCTGACACGGTTGAATTTCTGCTGCCAGTAAGAAGGGCACAGGGACGGAAGAGGGTCTTAGCAAAGCCGCGTACAACACTTTTAACACCAAAAGATCTTAAAGGACTTTACAGAGCATATGGTGCATTCTCAGTTACAAGCTCACACCTCCATTGCTCCATATCAGACACCTGTATGCTCCATATTCACAACACTTGACTGTTACAGCTCCAAAGACAGATCCTACTAGGCACTGCTCCAGTCCCTTACCACGTGTGCTGAACGGAATCGCCATAAGCTGTATAGGCCCTATGAAACACAGTAGAGCAGTTTTGATTCTCTTCAGCAGAGGGCAGTGGTACACCCACACACTACCCACTTCCCTGCAGTGTAACTGCATACAAACAGGCACGTTTCCAAAAGCAGCCACCTTTGGGGTGAAGGGTGGCCGCTGGTTAACAGCACACAGGCACACTACACAAGAGTTTAGGCAGGAAATGAAAACAATGCCATACCCAACCTTTCCAGCTCCTCCACCACACAAATGGTCTGAACAGCTGTAAACCCGGGGTATGTGTTTTCTCTCTGTCCATCACAGTGTGGCAAGGCGGCTCCTGGTTAACACAATCCACTGAGTTGTCTGGTAGATGCTTTTCGCTGGTGCACACTAGCAGGTAAGACATTGCTGTTCTTGTCCAAACAGGCTGCTCTCTGCTCTGTCCATCCTCCCTGGGAAGCGTGCTGGCTAACAAAGGATGCCGTAGTTTCACCTTAGCCAGAGCCTCCTTTAAGCCGCTAAAGCAGAATATGTTTTCAGCCAAGGTACGCTCGCTGGGCCTCCGCGGTCAAGAGGTTTTTGCCCTTTCCTGGCAGAGCTGCAAGACCCTCGCTGCCTGCCCAGTGCCCGAGGGGACTCTGCACAAATACCTGCTGTAAACAACAAGTCACCTGTTGCCTTAGCGCAGGCACAGAGCGGAAGATTGGCTAAGAGGAGGGAACTGCTCCCTGTAGCACTTAGGTTTCGTTAACTCTTTCCTTGCAGCTCTGAAACAAATCCAGCATGGAATTATGCCCTGTCCTGCTCAGGAGTTAATGGCAAGATTGTACACTGTGATTCTGGGTGCTTACTTTTTGGGAGACTCAATCAGAGACTCCTGGCAGGGGTTGATTTTAACTGCACACAAAGCCTCTGAAAATCAGGCACCTTAACTCACGGCACCCTTTCAGAAAACTGGCTCCAAACCCGCCCACATATAAGCCACTCCTCTTCTCCCCCTCAGTGTTACAATATACTCCAGCGGGTCCAAGAAAAGATGTCCCTAATATCCTGGGACCAACCTGGCTCCCACAGGGCATAAAAATTGCAGTGGCCGCCCCACTGGAAAGGATGAAAGATGGCTGAAAGATTGTTGGTCATTCATTAATGGATAGTGTCAAAGTACCATTGCTTAGTTTGGTAGAAAACTTTCACGGATGTTATAAAGATAATTAATTAATTAATTAATTATTAATTATTAGTTAAAATCAACCCCTGCCAGGAGTCTCTGATTGAGTCTCCCAAAAAGTAAGCACCCAGAATCACAGTGTACAATCTTGCCATTAACTCCTGAGCAGGACAGGGCATAATTCCATAAACATCATCAGAAGAGCTTCCAATTCTTAATGGGCCTCAGTTTTCAAACTTGGGCACTTAGGGTACATCTACACAGCAACATTATTTCGAAATAACTTAAGTCTGTGTCTACACAGCAGGCAGTTATTTTGAAATAATGTTGAAATACTGTCAAGCTGGAGGACTTCTTACTCTGACTCCTGTATCCCTCATTGTACGAGGAGTAAGGGAAGTCGGAGGAAGAGCGCTCTATTTCGAAAGAAGTGCTGTGTAGAATTGTTCCCAATTTCGAAATAAGCTACGCAACTGACGTAGCTCAATTTGCGAAGCTTCTTTCGAGTTAAGCCCTGCTGTGTAGACTCACCCATAAAGTTTCCAGACACCTACTATAAGTTCTGAATTTCAGATAGACTAAACATGCAAAGGTTTAATTAAATTTGACTAATTTTATTTTCAGTGTGACTTAATTAAAAAAAACTCACTGAAATCTACAAATGAAGCCAAATTGGACATTTGAGGAACAGTATATTTTCCTTATACTCAAATAATTGAAAACAGCTCAATCAATTTAGCTCAGACTTACTATATCACCCCCCACTATACACATTGTTCCAGCGCTCTGCATCTGACGGTACTATAATTCCTCAATTCCTCTTTTTTTCCTACTTTTTAAAGGTGGGCAAACATAGTACCTTTCTCCAGTCATCTGGGACCTCACCCATCCTTCCTGAGTTCTCAGAGATAATAGTGAATGATTCCAAGATGGTTTCAGCTACCTTAGGGTGCATTTCATCAGGTTATGCTGACTTGAATACAACTAACTTTTCTAAAAATTCTGTCACCTGTTCTTTCTCAATTGCCACTCACGTTCCTTTCCCTTGCTGTTAATATTGATTGTGTGAAGTATTTGGTCACAATTTACCTTTTTAGTGACCATAAGAGACAAAAATACACATTAAACACCTCAGCCTCTTGATGTCATCCACTATTTGCAGTCCTTCCTTGCCAAGTAGAGGGAAGTCTTTCTAGAAGTTTTTCTCTTGCTTCTAATGCATTTCTAAAACCTGGGTTTATTACCTTGTGGCTACTTCTAGACTGGCAAGATTTAGCGCAAATACTCTAAACGCAAGAGTGTTTGTGTTAGAGTATTTGAGTAAGAGAGCATCTATACTGGCATGTACCTTTGTGCAAAAGATTTGCTTTTGCGCAAAAGCATCCATGCCAGTGAAGACGCTCTCTTGCGCAAGAAAGCTCCAATGGCCATGTTAGTCATCGGGCTTTCTTGTGCAAGAAATTGATGTTACCTGTCTACACTGGCCTCTTGTGCAAGAACACTCGCGCAAGAGGACTTATCCCTGAGCAGAAGCATCAGAGCATTTGCACAAGCAGCACTGATTTCATACAGTAGAACGTCAGTGTTCTTGCGCAAATACTCGTGGCCAGTGTAGACAGGCTGCAAGATTTTGCACTAAATCTTGCCAATGTAGACACAGCCTGTATGTTAATTACCTTGTATTACACTTAGTAAGTGTAAGTCGGGGTGGCCAATACTTTTTGGTGTGGGGGCCACATCAAGGTTTTTCATCTGACGAAGTGGGTCTTTGCCCACGAAAGCTTATGCTTCAACACTTCAGTTAGTCTATAAGGTGCCACAGGACTCCTCGCCACTTTTACCAAGGTTTTGGTAAGCAGTAAAGGGCCGCACTCTTCTGTGCAGAAGGGCGCATGGGTTAAGGGACGGGGTTGCAGGAGATGGTGCGGGATCTGAGAGGGAGTTTGGGTGAAGGAGGGGGTTGTGACCTGGGTCAGGCGATTGGGGTGTAGGATCTGGGAGAAGGTGTGGGTGCAGGAGAGGATTCTGACCTGGGGGAGGGGTTGGGGAGCAAGAGAAGTTGGGGTGCCAAGGCAGGCGCTATGTGTCTCCTGGCCGGCAGGCTGGGCTCCCTGCCTGCTGCAGCCCCGCTTGATGCTGCAGCCTGCTCCCTCCACACGCCTCTCAACTAGTCTCTCAGGCCAATCTCTCAGCTCCGATTGGCTGGCTGTTTCCCCACAAAAGGTGGATGGTGCCCTGGGGGAGGGGTTGGGGAGCAAGAGAAGTTGGGGTGCCAAGGCAGGCGCTATGTGTCTCCTGGCCGGCAGGCTGGGCTCCCTGCCTGCTGCAGCCCCGCTTGATGCTGCAGCCTGCTCCCTCCACACGCCTCTCAACTAGTCTCTCAGGCCAATCTCTCAGCTCCGATTGGCTGGAAGGTCCCAGCAGGGTGGTCCGCGGGCGGGATCTGGCCCTCGGGCCGTATTTTGCCCAGCCCCGGTGGAAGTCTTTTTGTGCCCTAGACTTTCTGATCTGTTCCCACATGCTTGTGTTATTCTTTTGTACTCTCCTTCACCATTCCTCCATTCTTCCACTTTCGGTAGGGTTCCTTTTTGATTTTCAAGTCATTAACAAGCTCCTAATGGGGCCATAGTGGCCTCTTACTATTCTTCCTAGCTTTCCTTCTCGAGACTAGTTTGACGATACCCCTTTAGTATTATCTCTGAGACGCTGCCAGCTCTCCTGGACTCCTTTTTCCCTGAAGGCACGTCGACACAGCAGGGCTAAAGTCAAAATAAGCTACGCAACTTGAGCTACACTAGTTGCGTCGCTGAAGTCAAAATAGCTTATTTTGGCTTTTGGCACTGTCTACCCAGCAGTTATTCAAAACAGAGCACTCTTCCCCTGACTTCCCTTACTCCTCGTACAATGCGGTTTACAGAAGCCGGAGGAAGAAGCCTGTTATTTTGAATTTATTTCGAAATAACGGGCTCGCTGTGTAGACACGCACAATGTTATTTTGGAATAACTGGTGTTATTCTGAAATAATGCTGCTGTGAGATTTTCTTCCGAGGGGACCTTACACACCACTCCCCCAAATATGATAAAGCCCATTGTTCTTTTTTGAAGCCCATTGTTCTTATTTCGCTGCTTTTATCCCTTCCTTTCCTCAGAATGATGGACTCTGTATTGCATGATCGCTTTCACACAAGTTGCCTTCAACCTTCAGATTTGCAACCAATTCCTCCCTGTTAGTCAGAATCAAGTGTAAAATGGCTGACTCCAGGTTACTCAGAAACAAGCAGCTATCCCCAAGGCTTTCCAAAAACCTATTCTACACTAGGAAACTATTTCAAAATTACTAAATTCAATTTAAGAACCCGCAATTTAACAAATTTGAATTAGGGTCTCCTCATTACGGGGAAGCATCGAAATTAGTCCGAGGAAGGCTCTGGTAAGGTGGACATGCTACCTCGGACTTAGAGCTCCAGGAAGCACTGGGGTGTCATTACTTTGAATGACTCTGGGGAGTCGTTATTTCGAAATAGCGGCACCAGCACGTCCGCACAACTGCTATTTCAAAATAACTATTTTGGAATTCGCGTTATTCATTCCTGATGAAAAGCAGGAGCATAGTTTGAATTAAGTGGCCCGTTAATTTGTCATTTTCAAATGAAGGGCTTGATAGTGTGATAGTGTGGACGCTCCGCTTAGCAATGCGGCCTAAGGGGGGTTATTTCGAAATAAAGTCCTAGTGTAGACCAGGGCCGTGGTTTGCCATGCTGCTTTACTACCGCATTACTACCAGGTCTTGTGTTTGGGATATTTAGAAGTAATGCCACAGTCACCTTCTTTTCACTGGCTCTGA